GAAGTGACTTCAATATTTATCATATCTAAATAAAATGTTACTGTGCAAAGACAAGGCTGAATAAGCAAATTACTAATGCCTAAACTATCTCAGCATTACACATGGGCCCAAAGTTTTGCGTAAGCAGTTTAAAATTATCATTTATATCACAGTCATTCTCTGCCTATACAGAGCCAACATGATTTGATGCTCCAAAGGTACAAGTATAGTAAAGTGAGAAAAAAATCACTTAAAGGTCAAACAGCTTGCAATCTGGGGGAAAGAATGGGTATTTCAATGAGTTCTGTAGGGTTCAAAATGAACGTATGAAATCTTCATGAAAGTATTTACAGGATTTTGACAATAAATTTCTTAACTGTAATTAAAATTGATCAAAATATATCCTGAGCCTGGCTGGGCGTGGCTCAATGGTTTAGCATCGGCCTAGGATCCAGGAGATCGCGGTTCATTCCCAGTCAGGGCACATGCCCGGGTTGCAGGCTTGATCCCCAGTCGGGGGCATGCAGAAGGGACCAGATCAATGACTCTCTCATCATTGATGCTTCTCTCTCTCTCTCTCCCTCTCCCTTCTTCTCTCTGAAGTCAATAAAGATATATTAAATAAAATTTTAAATATATATATATATATTTCCTGACTACTTAACACATGTAAGGCAATGTGCAGTTTAAGAAACAAAGGTGGATAACAGAGGACTTTTTTACTTCGTTGTGTTTTTGCCTCAGTCTAAAAAACAAATACACAAATATAGCTATAATAGAGAAGTATATGAAAGACTATGAGCAAAGGATTATGAGAATTCTGATGGAGGAGAAAAGAAATATGCCTAGAGGCAATCAGAAAGAGTTAGTAAAATTCTGATAAGATAAATCCTAAAAGAGGGTAAATCCATCTAGGAAGATGGCACATAGGATGAGGGCATATAAAACAAGTGAGACTTGAGGCATTCAAAGCTGTTTGATTTCTAGTCACTGAGGAGTCTAGAGAAAAGTATGAAAAAGAAGCATACAGGAAATTTTAGGGGGCTAAGAAATCAGTGTTTCATATGAGATTAGAGCCAGAACACAGACTATTGAGGCACAGAGAGGAAACTAAGAGAAATGGAGGAAGACAACAAGAAACAGAAAGGAGAGACTGGGAAGCAACACTGAAGAGAGCCTGAGAGACAGTGAGAAAGAGAGACTGGGGAAGAAGGAAGACATCAGCAGAAAAGACTAATGAGACGAATGATGCCCCATCCCGGAAAGGGTGGCCAGGGTGGGTTCAAGAAACAGCATGAGGTGAGAATCACAAGGCTGAAGAAACAATGAATGGCATTAATTAGAATAAACAGTGGAGGTCATGTGCTGTAATTCAGTGGAACACTATCAACCACATCAAAAAAACCTCTTCAATAAACAGGTGCTAAAAAGTCATCGAAAGATTATTGATTAATCAATCAATGTCAACCTGTCAGACTCAGCCCAGTTCTGCTAAACTGTCAGCAGTATAAATACAAAGACACGCTTATCACTTTTGCAGCTACCCTTAGATTTCAATTGTCTGCTTGACCATCTACAATTCTAGAACTCTTTGGTATCTCACCACCCAGATATTCAAACCAAAATGCTGGAGTCACCGAACACTAACTTCTCCCTCTTACCCTACATTGAACCATTCTCCACATAGCAGCCAAAGTAATTTTTTCACTATATGTTTTAAGTTGAGATATAATTGGCATATAACATAATATTTATTTCAGGTGTACAACATAATGATTTGATATTTGTATATATTGGGAAATGATTTCCACAATTAGTCCAGTTAACAACTATGCATATAGTTGTCACTATGCATATAGTTACAAAAATTCTTTTCTTCTGCTGAGAACTTTTAAGAACTTTTAACTTTTACCAACTTTCAAAAATACAATACAATATTATTAACTATAACCACCAATTACATACCCATGACTTACTTCATAACAAAGTTTGTATCTTTGGACCCACTTCACCCATTTACCCCACCTCTGGAAACCATCTTTCTGCTCTTTGCATTTATGGGTTCAGTTTTTTGAGATTCCATATTTAAGTGAGTACATATTTGTCTCTCTTTCCCACTTATTTCATTTATCATAATGCCCTCAAAGCCCATCCATGTTGCAAATAGCAAGATTTTTTTTTTTGAAGACTTTATGTTGATTTTGAAAGAAACATAGACGAGGTGAGAGTGAAAAATTGATATGAGAGCAAAACATCAATTGGTTGCCTCCTGCATGCCCTCTACCAGGGATTGGGCCCACAACCCAGGCATGTGCCCTGACCAGAAATCGAACTAGCAACCTTTCAGGGCATGGGATGACACTGGCCAGGGCTCATTCTTTTTTATGGCTGAATAATATTCCACTGTAGATATATACTCCAGCTTTATATCTTCATCTATCTATCCATCAATTCACACCTTGGTTACTTCCATGTCTTGGCTATCGTAAACAATGCTGCAATGAACATAGTGTTCATATATCTTTTCAAGTTTGTGTTTTTATTTTCTTTGCATAAATATTCAAAGGTGGAATTGCTGGATCATATGGTGGCTATATTTTTAATTTTTTGAGGAACCTCTATACTGTTTTCCATAATGGCTGCACCAATTTACATTCCCACCAACAGTGTACAAGTATTCCCTTTTCCTTCACACCTTTCCCAACACGTCTTTTCTATAATAACCATTCTAAAAGGAGTAAGGTGATATTTCAATGTGGCTCTTTTTTGCATTTCCCTGATAATTCGTGCTATTGAGCACCTTTTCATGTACCTGTTGGTCATCTGTATGTCTTCTTTGGAAATATGTCTATTCAGATCCTCTGCCCATTTTTTTTTTAATTGGCTTCTTTGGGACTTTTTTATTTTTGGGTTTGTTTTTGGGTTTTTTTTGTTTTGTTTTGTTTTGTAACTGTATGAGTTCTTTAGATATTTTGGATATTAACCCCTTAACAGTTACATGATTTGCAAATATTTTCTCCCATCCAGTAAGTTGCCTTTTTATTTTATTGACGGTTTCTTTTGCTATGTAGAAGCTTTTTAGTTAGATTAGTTCCACTCATTGATTTTTGCTTTTGTTGCCTTTACTTTTGGTGTCAAATCCAAAAAAAATCAATGCTGAAACTGATGTCAAGGAGCTTACTGTCTATGTTTTCTTCTAGGAATTTTAAGGTTACAGGTCTTACATTTAAGTCTTTAATCTATTTTGAGTTAGTTTTATGTATGGTGTTAGTGATCCAGTTTCATTCTTTTGCATGTGGTTGTCTAGTTGCCCCAACATCATTTATTGAAGAGACTATCCTTTCCCCAGTGTATATTCTGAGCTCTCCTGTCATAAACTAATTGATCATATCTGTGTGAGTTTATTTCTGGGCTCTCTAACAAAGTGATTTTTTTGAAATGTAAACCAAAAATCCTTTTAATGGCTGCCCTGTGCATTTAGGATATAATCTAAATTTCTAACCCAGTCCTATAAGGTCCTAAATATACTGGCTCCTGCTACATCTCACTCCAGCTTTATATCTAGCTACTTTACATACTAATTAATGTCATTCCAGCTAGACTTGCCATCTTTTAGTTCCTTCGATTCACCAGGCTCCTAGTTCACTTTGCAAACTACATCTGCTGGTCCTATTACCAGGAATACTCATCCCCTATTCCATGCCTTTAAGTGATTCAGATCTCAGCTTGAATTTCACTTCCTCAGTGAGACTTTCCTCAATACCCCTATACCCAAAATTATGAAAACTGGGTTCCTTCCTCTAGAATCTCATAAGCATTGTGTGTGTTATGTTCATAATACTTAATTACAATTTGGAATTATTAATCTGTGTATTTCTTTGTTCAATGTCTACCTTCCCTAAAAGGTGCCTAATTGCAGGCACCAAGATAGAGACTGCTAAATCTCCAAATGCCTAGTGCTCTGTAGACAGTTATTTGCACAAATGAACAATACTTCAAGAACATTTTGCAAAGCTTATTTTTATCAGATTGAAAAAAGTGTCCAGACAATGAAGAAATCTTTAAAAAGCACAATCTCCAGAAAATTGAGAAATGTGTTAATAATTACCAGGACATAGTAAAACCTGGCAATCGAAGTAATTTTTTAAATGTACCTATTATATGCCACTGTAGTAGATGCTGAGGATACAGCTGTAAGTAAGACAACAGACTATGGCCAATATCATTTTTTCCTAAGAACACAAAATCTCAAATACAAAATCAATCTCAAAAAATAAATATTTGTTTGCTTTAACAGACAATTCTACTGGTAGAAAAAGCTTTTCCAAAGTATTTTGTTTTCAGCTGTTTACTGAAATGTTAGTGAAAATTGTCAACTTAGGCGAGGGGAGAAAACATAATTCCAGGATTCCATTTCCAGATTACAGGTCCAGGAGACTGATTCTTTATACCAGAAAGTATAATGGCAATAGCAGCAACAAAGATAACCACAATCACCTAGGTTTTCTTGGCTGACCAAGTGGATGTCCATGGACTACTGTTAAACTAGTCATAAAATATTTCAAAATATGATGCTGAAAGTTAACAGAATAGATTCTCTCGCTACCACTATAGAATAGGGAAAACATGATAGGTTAAGGGCTACAAATTTAACTTGTTTCATACCTTCAAACAAATAATTTTAGATAAGCAATTTCACCTCTATAGGTCACACTTTCCACAACTGCAAGATGAGAGTTTTGGACCAGATCCTCTATAAGGATCCCTGTAGCTCTAGTCGTATCTCTCAATACAATTACATAAGAAAATAAATGCCAAACTAAATTGTTCTGCGGTATCAGACTAGACTGATGACAAATAAGGCAAATGTTTTTTCCTTTAAAAAAATCTAAAATCCAGGGCTCTGAATTCTAAAAGCAGGGCAAAGATGTTTTATACTGACAAACAAAAGTACCATAATTAAAATTTTACTCACTTTCTTGAATTAAAATATTGGACATTAAATCAATAATGATGCTCACCGATACAGATATGTCCTCATTTTTTCTCTTAACACTGGAGTCAAACAAGACATTTCTCCCTCGTCTTTCACAATCTTGATACACAATCAGTCGAATCTGGCTTGGATCAAATTCTGGCAAAGGCCAACTTTAAGGAAAAAGAAAAATTCATTAGAGTTATTTAATAAATATTCCACATAAATTTCTTGAAATGAAACCTGTATAACAAAATCCAAAGTTGTATTATTGCTAAAGTATAGACCTTTTTTATAAAATACAATCATTTAGTTTAGAGTTGAAAACTTATAAAGCTATGACATTTTAGATTAAAAAGTAATGATAAAAGTTGTGGCAAGTATCACTCAGTGTATATAAAACATAGTCATCCCATATTAATCTAAAAACAGCTAATTTAAAAATATGTAAGTACATTTAATATAACAAAAATACATATTGATTTCATGGCATGGACTCTTGATGGCATAAAAGCAAGTCATTATTTCTAAGTAATTTTATTACTTATGAAAATGCAAAAACAAAAATAGTTTGCAGTTAAAACAGCAGCAGCTAAGTACTTATAAAACAATAAGTAAAAAAAGTGAATCTTAAATATGGTGCAAATTCTCATATATAGCTGGTGTGAGTAAATACTGCCACAACCTCTTTAGAGAACAGTCTTTTAATTATACACTAAATAGACAAAATATAGTAAAACTGAAGCTGATCCCAGCAATTCCATTCCAGAAAAGTTTCCCATTACACAAGAATGTTCACAGCAGCACTTTTCATAACAGTTGAAAACTGCAAACAATTTAAATGTTCATCAACAGAAGAATGGGTAAATACATCATAGTATATTCAGACTACAAAATACTACTCAACAAACACAATAAACATCAGCTAAAAGCAAACACACACACACACACACACACACAGAGCTACTGTATTTTTCCACTTATATAAAGGTTTAAATCACGTAAAGTTTTACCTAGGAATGCATAATTTTTAAAACTGTAAGGAAAATGAAGTGATGGCTTCAAAGTTTGGAAAGTGGTTAGCTCTGGGAGGTGGGGGTTAGGTGGAAGTGCAACCATGGAGGGACAAACCAGGTGGATTGGGGCACTATGTTCTATATTTTGACTAGATAGTGCTTAATGGTTATTCACTCTACAGTTTAAAAAAAGCCACTGCATTTGTTTTATGCACAATTATAATGCATTTATTGCACAATTAAAAAGATCAATGTAGAGATGCTGCGTGCAACGAGAGGGCTCAGCAAAGGAACAATGGTGTCTTCCAGCACTTCTGTCTGGGAGAAAGCTGCCCTCCAGCCCTTTCCCCAAAGCCAGATAATTCAGTTCCTCCAGTAAGTCCCTGGTGCCTTTTGATCTGCAGCCCCAGCACTGGAGCTGAGGGCAAAAACAGGCTTCTGGATAACTGGGAATCCCTTCAGCTAATGGAAACAAACATTCTGGGGATGGAAAGGTGCTGGTGGTGATACTTCCAAGAGAGTCACTTAAAACGGAGCTGGGAGGCCAATGGGGAAGGGAAGTCTATACATGTCTCATGTCCTAGTTCTCTGAAGTACTGTTAAGTTGCTGACCTGTTGTTAAACTCTGCTCAAGGCTGAGCAATGAGCATCTAGATCAAGGATGGCTATGTGGACATGAATGAACTTTACTTCCTCCTCATCAAGGTAACCAGACACCTGCATTCTTCACCTTGAAAGGAACCAATCCATTTTGACAACCAGCATCCTCCATGTGCATTATGGGCCTAACCAATCTCAACTGACCTAACCAATGTCCTTCATTTACATGGAGGACCTAAACGAGAACAGCCCTTGTGGTTTTACTATTTGTAAACCCTGCCTTTTTTCCCTTCAGAACACAATTCAAGTTGCTGCCTGAATCTGTATCGTCTGGATTACAATCATGCCTCTGCTCAAATAAATGTTTGGTTTTTTTCACTCTTTAAAAAAAAGGGGGGGGGGTCAATGTCATAAGAGAGAGGGAAAGAGAGAAGAAAAAAAGCCATGAATACTAGTCTAGTGAACTGAACACACTACAACTGATATAACAGTTGCTAAGAAATAGTAGAGCTGCCATTCCAAAAGCTGCCTGTCATTAGTTACATTAGGCTACATGGTCAACTCCTCACAATCCATCAGTCACAGCTCTTGGTTGGGTTTCTTCACTTCCTTAAGAAAAGTTGAACTTTAACCCTATCAATGCATGTCAAACTGTAACTGGCAACGTAAAACATCTTTATCCCAAATGCTTGACAATAAGTACAATTTTAGTTTTCTCCTGTCTAATCCTTAGCAATTGTTCATGTGTTAGAAACTAATGAAAGACCCTCCAAGACATTCAAGCTAAACCACAGAGATTCATCCTTAGACCACACTACTTTGCATCCTATTGAACTTTTACCAAACTGTGCTTTGATGTTCCACAAAGAAAAACTAAAACAATGAACCCAACATAAGATGAAAATCAGGAAAGTGGTCTCATGGAAAACAAGAAAGAAGAGCATTTTAGAAGAATACTATGGTAGTGACTAAAAACTACCCACTAGCTTTAGAAACAAAGAAGTCATTGGTGATCATGGCAAGGACAGTTCTAAGGAGTAAAGAGTAGAGGGGTCAGATTGCAGTGGATTGAGGAGTAAATGGGAACAGAAAATTTTAAACAACTATCAAGGAAAGAGAGAAAGAAAAGAAATCATGAAGCAGAGTGACAGCTATTTGTTATTAAAAAGGACACATCTGAACATGTTTACACATTGACGACAGAATGTGAAGTGAAAGGGAGATGGTGACTGATAAAGCAAGGCTTCTGACAGAGTGGAGGTACATAGGATACAGAGCACAGGTGAAAGGTTTAGTCTCAAACAAAAGAAAGAATAACCTCTTCACTAGGATGGGAAAAAAGGAGGCAAAGGTGGGCATGAGTACAGAAAGATTTGTAGGTATGAAGGGAAAACGCTGAGTGAGTTCATGTTTAAGAGCCCTATTCCCTTTGTAGAGTAGAAAGAAAGAAAGAAATTTTAAAATGTTGTAAAATGTGGGAATAGTAGAGAGTAAACAGTGGTTGTGAGAAAGAAAATTGTTAACTAGGAAACCTAAGATTTCTGGGAAATGCTATAAGTCTATATGAGGTTGAAAACTATGAATATGTACCAGGGATCAACCCTCCAACCTTGGTGTATCAGGACAACACTGTAACCGAGCTATCCAGCCAGGGCAAACAATCCATTTTTCAAATGGGCAAAAGACTTGGGCATTTTGCATAAGAAGACACATGAGTGATGAATAAACAAAGCACATGGAAAAGATGCTAATAGTAATATTATCAGAGAAATGCAAATTAAAACCCTTCTACAACCATTAAAATGGCTAAAATTAAAAGGACTAATAACACCAATTGTTGGTAAGACTACAAAGAACTCTCATACACTGTTGGTAGTAAAAGGGTACAACCATTTTGGAAAATTATTTGGCAGCTATGACCCAGTAATTCTTCTTATAGGTACATATGCAACAGAAACGAAAAGATATGTTCATAAAGACTTTCACAAAAATGTTCTTTGCAGCTTTATTCATAGTAGCAAAAAACTGGGAACACCCAAAAGGCCATCAGTGGGAGAACTGGTAAATGAACTATGATATATTCCTACACTGAAATACTACTCAGAAATAACAGAATAAACTACAGACCACAGTACCACAGATGAACTCCAAAACACTGCTGAGTGAGAAAATCCAGACACAAAAGCATTTGGATTGGTAATTCCATTTACATACAGTTCTAGAACAGATAAAACTAATCTATGGTGACAGAAATCAAAACAGTGGTTGGCCAGGGGTGAGGTGTGAAGTGAATGGACTAGAAAGGTGTTTGAAGGAACTTTCTGGAGTGACTGACATGTTCTACATCTTTATTGGGGTTGTAGTTAAACAAGCGTATACATTTTCCAAAATTAATCAAATTATATGCATAAAATGTTTGCATTTTATATAAATTATACTTCAAGTTTTAAAAGGAGAGGATTGTAAGGGGGAAAAATAACACTATATATAACCAAATTATGTATTTACATTATAGACATCTCATTAAAACAGAGATTAATTATACATTTACCATACTCAAAGTACAGTGCCAGATGCTGGGAATATATCTGTCGTCACATTATTTATGTATCCATTCACTGACTTGAAAGCATTCATTAAGCATGAAAAGAAAAATATGACTATACCATGAGAAGGCTCACAGTCTAACAAGATAATAAATAATCTTACCAATGCGATATAATCTATGACTGAGGAAAATTTACAATCTTCACAAGAAGTCTGCACAGGAAGGTGAGGTAAAGGTTCACTGAAGAACAGTAATAAATGATACAAAATAAATAATAGCTAACACTTATACATTATCTGTTGTAAACCAGCTATGGTTATAAATGCATTACATATGTTAATTCGCTTAATCTTTAAAAAATTAATTCATTTGATCTTCACAACAACCCTATTCTTATTTTACACGTGAGAAAACTAAAGCATAGAGATTAAGTAACCTGCCCAAAATAACATAGCTACTGAGTAAGTGGCAAAGCTGGGTTTAGATTCCAGCGTGCCTTCAGAGTTCATGATCTATCCTAACCATTATTCTGTATAACTGAGTAAGTAGGAAATGCTACTTAAAGCTTATCAGCTTCAAGTGGGAATGAAAGGCATTCTCTTCCCTGAAAGAAAAAAACAGCATGTGCTATAATTCTTAGTAACTCTAGCTCATGAGTGTGCAGTGAAGAAATAAACACAGCTCCAAAGGCAGGCTGGTGCCACATCAACACTCAGAAGCATTTCACACAAACACATAGAATCTCATCATTCAGGCAATGAGTAAACAAGGGAGTTGAACAATAGCTGACAAGATCATTTATGCACTTTAGAAAATCACATTGACAGAAACCTGAGGAACGGACTAGAGAGGGAGGTCTGGAGGTAAGCATAGTGTTAAAACTTGAACCAAGGAATAGCAATGAAGATAGTAAGAAAAGGACAGAGCTAGATGTTATTTAGGAGACAGAAATAGGACCTTGGAGACTGGATATGGGGAATAAGGGAAGAGAGTGGCTGACACTCAGTTT